ATGTATTGATAAAAATTATGAATAATTTCACCTTGTAAAAGACATATTTATATCAGACCAATTATTCAGTGGAGTGGAAAATTGTGTTTCATGTATTTAAGTTGAGATATTATTAGTTTCCCTATGTTCCCTCAAGATTTTTGTAAGAAATGAGACCATGTTTACTATGAACTTTATCAAAGTGAATAAGAAATGTATTGAGATTGGACTGATTGATGAATATTGCATTACAATTTGTTAAACAAATACGCAAGGTAATATTACCTAATCAGGTCTATCGTCGTGTGTTTTAATGAAAAGTCTAGCTAGCAATTTAATTGGCCGTGTAAATGGTGGAAGTTAGGTCTCTGAGAATAAAGGCAACCAGAAAGGATAAGCGTTTAGATTGGATCGGAACATATGTTGGGCTGGTTTGATTGGGGTTCAGTTACATATCATCTTTTCATTGACTTTGATTAATTAGGCTAATAACATGTCAAATAAGGCCAAATAAAAAAATACTAGTTTCTCATCTCCTCCCGCATCCATTTTCCCATTTTCTCTGCCTCACCAATTTTTTTTTTTTTTTTTTTTTTTTTAAATTTCCTTTATTTTACTAAATATACAAAAATCTGGCTAACTCGCATCAGTAAAATTCCTCTCTCGATCATTCGTGGTTAGGGATTCATATGGTATGAACAGTGGCGTGTCTAGAGGAGGGTGCGGGGGCACACCCCCCCCCCCCCCCCCCCCCAAAAAAAACCCCACTCCCCCCCCACAACCCACGCATAGGGTTTATTTTATTATTAATATAGGCTGTCTCTTATACACATCTAGATGTGTATAAGAGACAGCAAACCCCCATCAGCCCACCCCCCACCCAATTCAAGACTTCTGGATACGCCATTGGGTATGAATTATGTCTAGTGCTTCTTTTATTTGCTTTCAATATGTCTACTGGTAAAAGAGAGAATGTAGTACTGTAGCTATTTCCCATCTACCATCTTGCATTTGCTGAGTAAAAAACAAAGGTACTCAAAACTTTTTTAAGTTGGCCTAATATAACTTTCTTTTAGTATTAAATAGTTATTGTAAGCACTGAATTTCTCTGTAGCAATAATAATATAATAAAGTTCTTAACCGTTCTGAATCGACAGAACAAGTGGTTGTCATTGACTACCACAGTAGTTGACAAGCTTTAACAATGCAAAACAAAAGAAGAAACCTAGAGGGGAAAAATATATTAGCTAACCTTATATTTCACTTTCACGTTCCTTGTTTTTGTTTTCTATTTAAGTATAATAGCTAACCGTCTAATTACTTACTTATCTTCTCTTTTACTTTCATTCTATGCTTCTTTAACTTTCCGTGATTCCCATTTACCTACCTTTTCTTTCTTTCGTCTCCCTTTTCCTTTTAATTACCTTTTCTTTCCTTTCCCCTTTCTTTCTAATGTCTCCTTATGCATTACTTCTTTAGCTTAAATTACCTTTGTAATATTTCCTTATCTTCTCCATGATTATACAAGGAGTCTTACCCATGAACCCTGAGCAGGGCTCTAAATATCCCCCATTGGTTTGGTCCCTCTTTGACTGAATCACCACTGCCGGTTGCCACTACCGCAAAACATGCGGATTGCCAATAGCGAATATATTACTGTCCTACTTCTAGGTGACAATCTTTTTTATAAGACATACACACACAAAACTAAATCTCAATATGAGGTTTTCTTGGTCATGAGGAAAAAATCCTGCAACACTGACAGGAATTGTACCCAGGACCCTGGAATTGGAAGGCAAGCATCTCAACTATCAAGCTGATCAACTCCACTCCAAACTATATGATAATGGTAAATGTAATAATTTTGGCAATTGTACTGATAAAGATAATCATAATATTGTATAAGAATTGTCTTTATTTTAACTACCGGTAAATAAAATGAAATTATTTTCTTAATTTGGTTATAATTATGTATGTTCTAGTCAAGTATTCTTAAATATTATTATTATTATTATTATTATTATTATTATTATTATTATTAGGAAGATGTTTTCCTTTTGTTAATAATATTTTAAATATATGTGTAGTATATTCTTATTCTAAAATTAGCTATTTTGCATTCTTTTGATTAACTTGCTGCAATGAAAAAAAAAATACATCAAAATTGTTACATTGCATAAAATCAATACTAGATTAATTGTCCATAAATTGAAATAGCTATTAAGTCCTTCAAACTTCACTTATCCCCCGTTTTATTGATTTTGACTGAAGTAATGCGTAATTCTGTGTTTTGTTAAACTTATTTGTCATAAAACCTCCTCAGCATAATATAAACATTTTTATTATGCTAGATGTTGTTTAACTGTTTTATTATGTTTTCTATTTATATGATTGTTTTTTCATTGTTTTTTGGTATTTTTTTCATTAGGCTTTCATATCCTTTGACAGTGCCACCATTAAAAGGAGAGAAATCTAATGTATTATTTATGTACAGTATTCACAATTATTCATGTAACTAAAGGTGGAAGGACAATACAGTACTCCGTGTTTTGTTAAACTTAATTGTATTAAAAACTCCTCAACATAATATAAACGTTTTTATTAGGCTAGATGTTGTTTAACTGTTTTATCGTGTTTTATATTTATATCTCTTTTTTTTCATTGTTGTTTAGTATTTTTTTCATTAGGCTTTCATGTCCTTTGACAGTGCCGCCATTAAAAGGAGAGAAATCTAATGTATTATTTATGTATTCTTCACAATTATCCATGTAACTAAAGGTAGAAGGACATAATACAGTCCTCCGATATGCTGGGAACAATACCGTGACCTTGTTGTTTACAGGAGTAGAACAGTACATTACTGTATCATTTCCTGTGGACTAGGTGATGTTGGCATATGAAGGTATTTTTTTTTCTGTCTTAAAATTGTATACTACCGGTACTTTCTTATTATTATGAGTTCAACCAATGCCAATGAACCAACGAAAATATAATAAAAAATATAAATAATAATAATAGTAATTATTATTATTTAGAGTTTAGAGGCAGGTTAAGGACAGTGTTTGTATCCGTGTCCATTATGTTGTAGGTTGCGTGGTGGTGCATTGTTGCTGCTGCAGGTTCCCAGGGGCCCAGCCCGAATTTCTGATTTCTTATTAGAATGAGGACCAACAAAGAATTATTACTATTGTTGTTGTTATTATTATTATTATTATTATTATTATTATTATTATTATTATTATTATTATTATATCCTTCCAAAAAAAACAAAAAAAAATTTATTATAAAAATTATTTTTACATTTATTATTACCAAGTGTGAATTAGGTGTTTGCTTGCAGTTTTATTTTTCTAATACACATCTCACTCCATAATGATACGATAGGTTTTTACCCATTGGATTAAAATGTTTTAGGCAAATGAAGTGACCACACAAAATCTTGTATCAGAGAATATTCTTTTCAAATTCTTATTTCCCACCATTAGACCACTGATATTTAAGATTAAATGCAAAAAAAATCCATTGAAGGTTTGAAGACAAAATGTCGGTAGTTTACCATCCCAATTATACGTAATTAATCAGCTTGTGTGGCCTCAAAAATATTCACTTAAGACATTATACTACTTAATACTGATTAATTGAAGATAATTAAAATGACTTTGTGATGACAATAGTACTGGAGATCACAAGGCTTGTGGTGAAAGTCTTTATAATGTCTGTGTAATAATAGAAGCATTACTGGTCATTATATCTTGTCTCTGTATGTCCTTACATTAACATTATTATACCTGGATTTCTACGTAAGTGGCACTCCTATTATTTCCGTCGTATTCAGTTGTGTGTGTGTCTTGCCAAGTAATACAGTACCTTGATGTACCAATTATACCATAGAGGTAAACTAACTTTTAGTATTAAGGATTTAATTGAAAATCATGACCTCAAATAGCAATCATCCTTTCCAGCATGCAACTCAAATGGTAATGTTTTACAATATAGAGCCATCACACTTATTAAATCGGCCCAGGCTGCATTAAAATGATGCTTTTTAAGTTGCTGATTATTGAATTATTACATATGTTTAATAAATGAGTGGTAATAAAATATTTAATTTTTGGTTTATAAATATTAAAAATGACAGTTAAAAATATTAGTATAAGCCCCGCCCACTGGAGATGTTCACTGACGTGTGAGTAGAGCTAATGACGTAGACTCGGTATAACAATCACAGCCATCCTATTTATGTAATACAAACATCGTATAGTGCGACATATGAAAGAGGTTCACTTGGAAAGTGCTGATCTAAAGAAGGAAGCAAAGAAATGGAGCAGCTTTATTAATTTGAGCCACTAGAAAGCGAATTTTAAGACATTGAAAGAATTGAAGACCAGGCTTTGTGTTATAAAAACAGAATCGATTAGGCAACACTAACAAATTTTGAGCACTATACTATACTGTCCTACTCTATTCCCGACGGACTAGGCCTAAGCAGAGTAACAGCACGAACACTCGTCAGCATATGATGGTTAATATTATTAGTAATAATATGCATTGTTTACGTCTAAATTAGCTTACAGTCTGTATATTAAAGCTTATTTTGCAAAATTTTTACATTACAATGTAACGTACGAAGCTGAAATTTGATGTATTTGTACACGGCCTACGCCTTTGATGATGATAGTAAACAAAGCCGATTCAGCGATCGTCATCATGTCACGTTGTAAATTGCCTAGTTGTTTTTCATGTTATTGACTACAATAAAAAGCTAAATTTATTATTTTGGTTATTATGTTGATATACAAATTGTGTGATACTCACTAATAATACAGGCCTCGAAATTGGTACGAAAGGACCATGGCAAAAATTGCCGACGTAGATTTGACATTCCTCTACAGTTTTTGTATTTTGAGTTTCAGCAGGTTTCAGACAGTATATGATTGTACCCATAAATTCGTGGTTTACGAAAATAAAATCTTTCCAAAATTGTGTATTTGTAAAAACAGGAATTTCTATTCTTTTAAAAGCCATTACTGAAGAACACACGATCGAATCGGACGGCAAATAAACGCACATGGGAATCCCCGAATTGGTTTGCACCTTGCGCTTGTAAACAGTTACGACTCAAAATTGAACCATGAGGCAGGCCACAAAGCAGGATTGACTTTTGTGTTCATGTATAATTTTACTGTTTTATTAATAAAAGTAATTTAACTTGGTACAGTATTATGTATTTCAATGATTAAACAATTATTAAATCATTGTGTTAAGCCTGTATTTTATTCAGGGGTGGCGCCAGAGGGGGGGGGGGCTTGGGGGCTATAGCCCCCCCCATTAATAATAATAATAATTCAATGAGACTAATTAAAAATAATTTGCGTTCTGTTATGACAAATGCTCATTTAGATAGCCTCAAGATGGTTGGAATACATCGTGATAGGTGAAGCAACCTCGACCATGACAACGTGGTTGACAGATTTCATGCAAAATTTCCAAAATATAGAATTTCACTTTCTAGAATGAGGATTTGAAAATAAATTAGATGGTTACATTGCATACTCTTTGTTTCTTGCTTTATTAAAAAATGTTTTGGTTTTGGAAGCTGATGTCAACATTAGAAAGCATAGCCTACATGAAGTCATATTATAGTAACTCAATGCCTATCAAATAAGTAATAAAAATTCACCATTATTCATCAAATATATCCGTGGCTTCCAGGGGCGAAGCCCCCTGGACCCCACCGGGGGCCCTAGGCGGCCCCCCTGGCCCCCCGCCAAGTGAGACTCGATTCGCTCCACTAGCCCCCCTGTCGGGGCCTTTAGCCCCTCCGTCGGGCAGGTCCTGGCGCCACCCCTGATTTTATTGTAGGATAAATCATCACAAAATCACTCAAAATCACTCTTCTGTTTGTGGTTAGTACTTTAGGTCGGCTTAGGGTCGCACTAAAACGTTCACACAACCTCCTTTGTGCCAGGTTCTACGCAAATGTTGTGGTATAACAGTCAAAATTGACCACTATCAAAGTGACCTTGGTGACCCAGGCCTAGACTAAGTTTGGTTTACATTCAAATACGAAGATGCGTTTGCCCATGTTGTATTACGGGACCTGAGCTGACTTTAAAGTTGGACAAAATTGAGGTCACCGATGTAACTATTAAGTGTGATTGGGCTCATAGATGTTATGATGATTCAGAAAAACAAACATCAAATTGATGAATTATAAATACTATATAGTAGCCAAATAATTAGATAGGCTGATTCATGTTATAATTATATTAGAATATCTGTGTTATGTAATGCCTGTGGTTTTTATTTTTATTAGTTTAGTTGTTTTTCGTACATGAGTTATTTGTATGTAATGCTCAGGACCTAATTTTATAAGCTAATCAGCATCTTTCTTTAATAAAAAAAAATGTATTCAAACTACTGCAGGAACTTTATTTTACCTGGTAAAAAAGAGGCAGCAGTCATTGCCAATTTATTCAGGTATGTGAAGAAGAAATTGAAAATTAAATAAAAAAAATATTTATAAAGTGCATAATCAAGCCATATTTCATTCTTTGTTTATAATTATTTGTGTTCAAAAATAACCAGGATATCTGAACAAATCATGTCTTCATTTGTATTACTGAGACTTTTATATAATCTTGATAAGCATCAAAACCTAGTTTACTAGGTTGCATATACCCATAGAGAAATGTTCTATTTTCTCTATGGTATACCATAGTTGGAACATTCGTCTCAATACAGTGCATATCAACATTGTCATCACTTATCAGTTTAGATGTAACATCTGCTACCATTAATATATTTAATTGTATACCTCAGGCTACCTTTTACAAAGCTATGTACGTCACATCACAATCCCTTGATCACCAAGTGTAAAGGAAAATTAAAAACCTTATTGAAAATTCAAACTTTTGACCAGAGAGTTTGTAACCTTTTCAAATATGAAATTGTTTGGCTAATAAAACCATCAGTGAGGATTTTATCTCATGGTCAACAGTCATTTACACAATTCTTAAATCATTATGAATGGCATACAGAAAGCGCAATGCTAGTTGGCTGCTAACCTTTAACGGTTACTTGTTCTTTGAAATAGAGAAATGTATGCCACTTTTTCCTAATGGATTTAGACCTCCAGTGTTCTGTGCATAAATTGAACGAAATCATCATATAACATTTGTGCTCATACGTTATAAGGTTTTAAAAGTTGTATGGTATAAAAAGCTTATATCTTTTTTTTGTACTCAATGGTAAAAACTTAATTGGTTAAATGGCAATCAACAAAATGCTAATTAAGGTGTGATGATTACAAATCTAAGTCACAGAGAAATTTAAATGATTTTTGCAGTTATACAAATAACATTTATGTTATATAATATTTATTATTTATATATTGATTACAAACCTACTATTGGCAAATGACTACCGTACTTGCGCGAATAAGCACCCAGGTGCTTAAAATATTTTCAGCACTTTTCAGGGGCACTATTCAAATAGGGTGCTTATGAAAACAGTGGAAATTGAGGGGGCGTTTATGGAAATATATATTGCCTTGATCAAAAAAACCTCACATGATATTGTTTAAAAAAATTAATAATTATCGAGGGGCGCTTATTCAAACGGAGCGCTTAAGAAAATGTTCACGTTAGGATGGGCGTTTATTCAATAGGGGTGCGTATTCAAATGGGGCGCTTATATGCATGAGTACGGTAGTGAAAGCATAATAGTTATAAGATTCATTATTGATACATAAGTATTAAAAAATTACTGTCATAATTAATGAATACAGGTATTTTTCATATTTACCAACAGTAATATCAAGTATGTACAGTAATTTTATTAATAATAATGTAGAGTATTAGTTTATTTATTTTGTATGACTTTTTGTGTTTATTTTTTGTATTTAATTATTTTGTTGTTATTTATGTTACTGTAGTATGATTTACTGTATTTTATGCAACATATTCTGGTTTTTTTTTAAATAAGGTTTTTTCTATACTGGATTTCAAAATCATTATGACATACGCTGTTCTCTATTGTAATTGCATTTGTCACCATGAAATTCATCAATTCAATTTTGAACTAGAAAATGGGTAATTACTTTTTTCTATAATCTATCCTAATAACCATGGTAACAGCTTATTATTTGATCTAACCTTTACTAATTAGCCTTATCATATGATGTTATGTAATAGTGTCCATGAACAGAGAGTACCAACCTAATTGGCTCTATAAACATGTGTACAGCATGCTGTTGCTAAAACATTGAAATCGTTTTGTAACTGGTTCAATTTTAAAACAAATGAAATATTTAGCGCCTGCTTTGCAGCTTAAGCTAAATTTTCAGGTCCAAATTCGGTCACTGGTCTCATGGTATTTCAAATACATACATCAATTGAAATAGTAGTTTAGGCAAAAACTCGGGAATAGTGAGATACAGATTTTTTTTTTTTTTTATTAGTATTGTTTCTTGATCACAGTTAAGTTCAGTAAACATATTGGGAAGAAGATCGGCGTTTGTCTATTGGTGCAGTTAATCATCCACAAACGTTATGTAGAAGGATCTATATTCCATGCCCTTTTTAAATAGAACAATTTGTAAATGTGTGATAAGTTTTCCCCACACATGCTAATAATTCATAGGGGTGTACGGTAAGAATGGCCCCGGAAAAAATGGCCCCGGAAAAAATGGCCCCGGAAAAAATTGCCCCGGAAATAATGGCCCCGGAAAAAATGGCCCCGGTAAAAATGGCCCCATATGACAGGTAGGTAAAAATGTCCTATGGGGCCATTTTTTCTGGGGCCATTTTTTCCGGGGCCATTTTTTCTGGGGCCATTTTTTCCGGGGCCATTCTTACCTACATTCGTGTGTAGGCTACTGCAGGTATGACCATGTGCAATGTCGTTTACAGTAAATCATGTGCTGAAACAGTAGTGTATAGCGACAATATCTGGACCTACATCAACAAGTAACACATGTGGATGCAATGGTTAACACATTCTAAATGAATGATACACGAATTATGATGTCAGTGTTGAGGTAAATTCCTGACGCCAAAACTGCTTGACATAGTATTTTATACATTGTTGTTATGTTTGTAATTACTTGATTATATGATACAATAAAAATAGATTCATTTTTAAAGTCAAAATAAAAGAAAATATCTTTCATAAATTGAATGTTGTGGATTTTGGCATTATGAATGTAGGACCTCAAACTGGGTCTAAGGGGGCCCTCTATTACTTTATTACATTTTACATGTTCACATTTTTTTTCATCAATAAAATTCTATCACTGCCTAGATACATTTGACAGAACCATTTTGCTAAATGTGGAAAATAGATTATATGTTTTTCCCTACCTGATGATCATTAAAAATGACAATGATAATTACTATTACAGACCAGGAGCTAGAAATTTCACATAATACCTCATCATACAAATTTCACTTACCATTTAATACCATACATGTGAATCCTTCGGGAAAAGGACATGTACAAAAGCTGCACTTGGATCGATTTTTTAATTTTAATCAACTCACTCTTTCTCATGAAAGATGCTTTTCTTTTGTTTTATATTAGAACAGATATTCTCCATAAATTACAAACAAATTTGTCATTTTTGCGCCAAAATTCTTTTTGTCTAATTGCATTTTTTTGGTGGTGTCATGAATCACGTCATTTGTCGACCTGGTTTTTATTTGGTTCTGATATATTTATTAGTTCCCTAGGTGACCAATTTGCATGCATCAAAATTGTTCTGACACACATATAGGCCTAGATGCTTTCGGTATTTTACAGGTTTTGTTTATGTGTTCTTTGCCGAAAGTGGCATTTATATATAGTAAACTTAATGTAAATGACAACATTTTTTTTTTGCCTTTGAATTTATTTGAGATGGATACATGCACCTTACTAGATGCCATTATTATTATTTACCACCATCATACTTTTCCTTTAACACTTCTAATTTTTTTTTGACATTTCATGTGTTTCAACATGTTCATACAAAAACATGCAAAAAATTACAGAAACAAATCCAACATTTGTTGGTTATTTGCAGTATTATATTGTGTTTTTCACCAACAAATGTAACACATCAAACAGGTAATTATACTCCTATTTAAAAACACCAATATAACAAATTTAT